TAGCAACACTCCTCCTAACAGCTGCCCACTTAAAATCAGAGAGGCAAGGACATAAAGCTGTCTGGGGCTGAAGTACAGCTCAGCCTGGTTACTCTCAGGGTAAGGGAGCACATCCTCCCAGCCTCATCACACCCTCTAAAAACCCATGGCCCTTTTCATCAACAGTAACTCTTCCTCTGATGAGCCATTATTTTCCAACCTGCTCTGCCTGATGTCAAGTAGCACCAGGAGGGAAAGAATGGAAGCATCAAAACTATGGTGGAAAAAGGCCAGAGATGCCGAGATGCCATGAAGACCGCAAATGACACTGATTTTACTGGAAGGCACTGGTGTTGACAGGGAGAAACATGAATGCACAAATGGGAAAAGAGCAAGTTCACTGAAGATGCTTTCCCTCGAGGGATGGAGAAATGTACCTGGACTACTTCCCAGTGCCTCCCTGAACACATTTCCACTTCACCAAGTGCAAGAGATGCTATACTCAGCTATCAAGGAGGTAAGCACTAGAGAAGGCCCTACTGCTAGATTTCTGTAGCAATTATGGTTCTAACAGAGTACACAGCAGTGCCAGGAGCTGCAGGCACAGAAAGTAATAAATAGAGCCCAACTTGAAGAGCATACCATTGATGCAGGCAAGACAAAGGAAATGCTGTTACCAGGGAAAATGAGGTACAAAGAAATTAAATCATCTGCTCAGGGTTATGCAGGGAATCCAAAGCAGAGCCAGGAACTGAACCCAGGCCCCCTCCTCAACCACATGTCTAGTATCTTAACCACAAAAACCTTACATCAGAGAGACTGAAAGCTTCTATCTTTGTTAGAGCACAATAAGCTTTTCTTACCAGCAAAAATCTTATGCATGAACAGGAGTCAGAGTGAAGGGACATTGTCACTACAGTGTGCAATGGTCTGAAACTGGAGTGCATTTCATCGACTGAACAGTCCAGTGGTAACCCTGCATACAACAAAGTGGGTGGTGGTCCCTGTAATTGTGCATTTTCTTTTAACTAGTGGGAGGTGGGAGTGATAGCAGCTTATGTGGCATTTGAGCAAACAAGCCTGGGCAACAGATAAACCAATCCCCTATTTCAGTAATCAATAGAGGCAGTATGCCAGCAAGGAGGTAAGTCAATAATGCAATGCGTGCTATGGGCTCCTCTGTATTCCAAATGAATTCGAAAACCTGCCACTGGAATTACAACAGAACAAGAAGTAAATACAAAATGCCGGCTGTAGCTACAGCTGCAATATATTAAGGCCAACCATTGCGGTGCTCTGTAAACACAACATTTCATTAGAGATCAGTTTTTACTGTTCAGAGCTTGTTGCTTTGAAGAAGCACTTTGTCATCCCTGCACAGCTAGTCTGAAAGGCCTCCGAATCACTCTATGAAACAGAGTTTTTCTAGCAAGGTTCATGGACCGAGAAAGCTGTGAATGGAGAGAAAGAATCTGAAAAGCACAGGCATTTTATTTTTGTCTTCCTGCCCTGCATGGGACACATTTGTCTCATGACAGTGCAAGAAGAAGAAAAAATATACTTAATGGAGGTGGGGCCTTCCTCCACAATCCTAAAGTGAGATTAAAAGGTCTGTGGTTTATATGAGGCTAGTGGCACATGGCTAAGGCACCCCAGTCATATTAGACTGATGGCACACAAGGGAGAGATGGGGCCAGCATCAGGTCCAGCCACCTTTGACTCCTCAACCCAAAGGACCATACACAGCAATAGTTACAATCAACTGTGAGCAGGTTTTTGGATAAATCCAGAACAAGCTTTAACTACTCTGCCATCATGTCCCCACAATCCTGTAAGCCTTGAGGTCTAATATGTGCCAAAGGGAAAATGCACTTAAGACTGCACAAGTCCCTATAAAATGCACCATCAATTGGCCGGAGATGTTGGTTGCAGCCGTTGTGGCACGCCAGTAGGGGATGCTCCTGCACCGAGCCACCCGCCTCACTGCACCCAACCCAAAAACCAAGCTTCAAGTGCCTCACATCTGGTTGACCACCTTCCTGGAGTACATCCACAAGCCTGGAGTACCAATGCCACCACCCAGACTCAGGTCTTTGTCTGGGCCCTGTGCCACCTGGGCTATGCAGGCCCTGTAGACCTAGGGGTTGCTTAACTCCATCAAGATATATCTGGGTGCTCCTTATAGCCCAAAGCATAGAAAGTAGCCTCCCTTAGTCAGCCAAGTAAAGGGAGCAAGAAGGCCTGCCCAGCCCCTCTCAAACATGTATGATAAGGCTGGCTATAACAGATAGCTTTAATGGGTAGAAAGGGTAGGCATGGGGAGGGGTACAAGTCAGAGATGTAGCAAAATAACCCTAAGCAACAAAAGCAGCTTGGTACCCTTTTGATACCTGACTAGAGTACATTAAATTAAGTTGCTAGTTAGGTTTCTGGTAAGTTACTCACTTCCGCATCCAGAGAATGAGAGAGCTGCGGAGGTGCATGCTTCTGTGTGTGTGTTTTAAAATGCCTCCCCATCTTCTTCCTGGAGGGACCCTCTTAAAAAGCCCTACTGACCTCACCACCTGGACCCAGTCAGGGACAAGTGTTATTTGATGCAGGCCAATTAATTTGGCAAACGTAATAGTTACCTAATAGAGTGACAGGGGCATAAGCCCCTGCCCCGGTGTTGAGAGGCCAGAGCTCAGAATAATGAGGGGCAAGATCCACAAGCTCTTACCCGGGGCCCGTTACATAGGGAGCAAGTTGGCTGCTGGGCAACTGGGTTGATAGACACAAGAGAGAAGGAAAACAGACAACCCCCAAAGACAGAGGAAGCTGGAAGGGGATTCTTTCACACCCGTGTTGGTCTAAAGGAATCTACAAAGCACCTTTCATAGACAAGCCTGTGAACTTCACTTCATAAATCTACTGGATACAAAAAAGCATGGATTAAATATAGACATTGGATTTATGGCACAATATAACCTTCATGCCATTTTGATAACTCCAGGTTACCTCTCTATATTTTCGCAGCTGCATTTTATCATCTTGTTGACATTGCCCTCTTTTTGTTTCCCCCCATAAATCTGCCCCACACCTATTAACTCCTATCCCCTCTGCGCTGCCCTACCACACATTTGCATTTTCACGGACCTGGATTTTGCATATTGTCTTAAGCTCCTATTCCGACCCTAGAGAGAAGACAAAGACCAGCAGACTCTCTCTATGCCTGGAGAAGGGCACCTGAGCTTAAAAGCTTGCAAAGAACATTTTTTCCAACTATTCAGTTGGTCTAATAAAAGTTTTATCCAAATAACTTTGTCATCAATTGGCTTGTATTTCCCCTGTTTTCTAAGTAGTTAGGGCCTGATCTGAAACAAAGAGCCACTGAGAAAGTTTCCAGTGGTACAGGTAACCATAAAAGAGCATGCATGTGATCACATTTATCTGTAGAAACTAATATGCTGATCTATTATAGCCTTTGCTCCAGACACCCTTCAGGATCAAAGCATCCAGCGCTGTTCCTCCCTGGCACCCTGGGGAAGATTGCTACCTCCGCCTGGGTGAGAGGTGCACTCCAGGGAATGAGGAACTTCCCAGTAAATGTCTACCCACCCTTAAGGATCAAAAACAAAGGGGTTGGTGAACAATGAGACAGCATTAGCATTTCAGTGACTGAAGCATAGGGGCAACTGAAGGAAGGTTGCACTTGTGATGGTGCCGTTAAAAGCCCTGTTTGGTAGCAGATTCAGAGAGACAGCAAGGTTTCAATGTCATCTACAAGAGATCAGAGGCAGTGGGGAGAAAATGCAAGAGTCCAGCAAAGGCATCGAGTGGGGATGTATACAGGACTATAAAAGATCAGCTGGAGTAGAAGAAAGCATCTCCCTCTCATCACCTTCCCTCTCCATACCATGCACACTACACCCAAATATGCATGATAAGAAATCAATTTGAAAACAAACTGCAGGGAATGAAATATGGATGACCAGAAGATGATGGGTTTGTAATCATGTTGTTTAATTCCTCCTCCATTTTTCCTGTAACTAGCAGAATAGGGCAAATGTCCCAGCTCCAGTGCAAAATACAATGCAAACCAAGACTCTGAGCTACTATTATTAATGCATGGTAAAATCTAGTAAACAGTAAAAACATCAGTTTTTTCTACAGTAAATGATATGTGAATCCTCTGGAAACACTGAGCCACCTCCTTGCTTTTGCACTGGGAACTTTCCCTTTCAGTTGCAGAGGACGGTACAGGGAGGGAGAAGAAATGGGAGCAACCGGATGAAGTGTGCAACACTTTGCACAGAAGCCCAATGGGAAATCTGCCAACAATTAGCAATCGCATGAGCAGGCTGCAACTCGGTTGTCTTGGTCATTCCTTCATCTCCCACGTCAGAGAGGCCTGAGGTTTGGCATCAGAGCGTCCGGAGTTACAGCCCTCTTAAAGTGTGACCGGGTTGTGCAGTGCAGGCTCTGAACCAGAGAAATGACTTAATACCAACAAGTGAAAAAAAGAAAAGGGAGTGGATATGTCTCTAAGGAATCCTCTGGTTCTGGATGCTTTTCAAACACCATCCCTCTGAGCCGGATGCTCCATAGGAGGCAACCAGAGTCCAATATTAGGAGTGGGGTGTTGATAGAGTTAAGGTCTCTTTCACCTGTTATTTCCCTTTGAAACTGCTACAGGTGTCTAAGCAGATGGGAGAGGAGGCAGGGGGCTTCAAGGTAATGACTGGAGAACTACTTCAATTTGCTAGACTCCTTTAAATGAGACGAAACGTTAATTCATTTTTAAACCACTCCTGGTGATCCAAGGGAAAACGCCAAGAAGCCTACACGGCTGCCGTCAGTAAGGCACTTGCATAATAAGCACGCTCCACTCATCACAAAGGCAGTCTGTTTGCTGTCGGTTTAACCCTAACACACATGCAGCCAAGTTAATACACACATACCTTCGGATGCTGTCAGGCATTAGAAGATCCTGCTGGAGGAAAGCCAAGTTTATCTTACACATCTTGTTAAAAGTATCTTACCTAATTCCTTTGGTTTGAGCAATACTGTGGAAGGAAAGTCTGGATACTGCAGATATCACCTGGAAATGGAAAAAAAAGAAAAGAAAAAAAAGGGTGTTATTACCGAAGAAGGAAGAACGTTGCATAGAAATCATGGGCACAGGGGTACGGTTTTTTAAATGTGCTAAGCGCCTGGTGGCTTGTAGACTTGTGCAGAAAATGGGGGTGTTCAGCTGTACTGAAGATAAGCATTTATTTTATTGAAAATGTATTATTTGTACCATGGTAAAACCCAGAAGCCCATGCCATGGGTCAGAACCCCACTGTGCTTGGACACTGTGCAAGCACCAAGCAACTTGCTATCACCCTAATGAAAAGGAATTAGGGTTGTTTCCTCATTCCCGAGACCCGGATATTCGACTTTGTTACAGAATGATTTTGTGGCGGCGTGCCTCAGCTTCAAGCCTGCCCGAACAGGTCAGGAACGCACGACATCCAAGCGGCATTCACGTTCAGAGATGCTCCTGAAAGCATTTGACACTCGTGGCCCAAACTCCCCACAGGTTCTGAGCGGTCTGAACAGAAGAGAAGACAACACATAGGCTGCAAGTACTGATGCCCCAGCATCCAGCGGGGCTGGTGTTCAAACGACAACCTATCAAGGCTAACTCGGAGCTCGTGTTGTTATTGCTGAGCGTAAAGGACATCTGAGCTTCCTCGTGTAAAGAAAACAAATGCAACAATGTACTACAAGGAAATGCCATCCAGGAACTCATGTACCATCATTCGAGATCTTCCCCAGTGCCTTCTTGCAGTCTGGACAAATTCCTGCTTTATATTCTGTTATAGCATGGGTTGCGATTCTTTTGCTCGTTCTGCACAAGACTAAGTTGGAGGCAAGTCCAGATTCAACTTCCTCCGTTTCAAAATAATCGTGCCCCTGCATGTCAGGAGGGAACATGGTCTGTCGCCTTTTCTGGTCATCAACAGAGCTGACCAAATTCTCATGAGCCCCCCAAGCTTTTCTATTACAGGGTCCAACTCTTCCGATCAGGCATTTCGTTCCACTGAGGATGGAGGGGCTCTGCTCCAGGATTCCTGTTCCTTAACCTAAGGAAGGCCAGGAGAGATTCGGGGCCTTGTTACACCGAGCCACACAAATATGGATCATCTTAGTGCTAGCTTGCAGCCACACCTTCAATTTGAGCAGCACATGTGGGGAGTGGCCACACTTTAATGGAAGAGGAGCTGGGTTATGTGGATCAGAGGTAATCCCGCCCTGGAGTGGCATCAGTTTGAACCACACAACAAAAGCTTGCAATTTAAAGGTGTTAACGTGCGGATAATTCAGGGGTTAAGAGCTCCTGGAGTTGCCCAAAATTAACATGCAACAAAGCCCTCGTATATATAGCTCATCAATCCTGACTCTCAGCCTGTCAAAACTTCAGTCTGTGGCCAGAAGTGTGGGACTGAATCATGCCGGTGGGACAAGGGGTTGGGATGGTGGCATCCGAGTAGGATACAAAGCAAGTATCCTCAGGGCCTTTGGCAGGTACTCAAAGGATCCCCCTCCGGTAAGAGAAAGCTCCGAGCCTGCCAAGGAAGAACGATGAAACCTGCTAACTTATCCATGCAGCCAAACCTAGTTTCCAGGTACAGGCGTGTGCTCAACCGCATTTGATGGCATCTGTGGGGCTCACTGTGGCAGCTGCTTCTGGGCTGGCACATGGGTAACTGAACTAAAAGCATGAGCCACCAGAGCTTGAACTCAGGAGTGCATGCAGCTAAGAGCTGCTGTGGACCAGACAGTAAGGAAGACTTGCACCAACATTCACCCTCCTAGCACACCTGGGTTAATTTTCTTCTGGTTGCATGGACTGTTCACCATTGGTTTAACTGCATTTAACTAGCACCCCTCCAGCTAAATTAAGCTTTGGTTTTTCACTTTTTTGAAAAAGACAAAACTTCCAGCTCATAAAATCTAGTCTTTAAACCTAAAATCCAGGTGTAATTAAAGGGGGGGGGGGGGGGGGG